ATGCAGAAATAAAATCGGCCTTGGCAGACACTGAGTAAGCACAATGTTGCAGGCGGCCACGCCGCATTCGTCGGGGTAACGAACAGCTTCGTGCACGTGGTCATGTACTCCTACTACTTTGTGACCTCCACGTGGCCCGAGAAGAGGAACGGCCTCTGGTGGAAGAAGCACATAACTCAGCTGCAGATGGTAAAGACGACACACGGACCCAAATTTTGTACCTTGTCACCTGTTAAGAATATTGTTTTTATTGTATCCTTAGTATTACTTAGTTATTATCGACGCTATTTTAACTCCGTAAGTTATTATTGTCTAATTAGATGCGCAGTAATGTCATAAAAAGTGTGTACGACGAGCTTCAACTGGCGAAACTAAGGAAAACCACGAAGACTCACCTTTTGAGCTGGCGACTTCCTGACGCTTGAGTACAATTGCACGGCCGTTCCGTGTCTATTTTCATTTTTGCTTCGTATCTCTTGAAGATTTGTTTCTGTCTGATGCCAATACTTTGAGTTTCTGGAGGAAAATGGCCGCGGTTTGCGTGTTTTAAAGCCAGAAATGGAATCTTGACGTCACAGAGCAAGTTAGCTCAGCACCGACTTGTCTTCTCTTGTTTTAGAGGTGCCAGTTTTCGAAACTGTTCGCCCCCCACAGAGAATCTTTGTGTTTGTTTTCATCGCTGATTTTGTATAATTTCATATTATGATTTCGCTGTTTTCCATTCCTTTGTCAGTTTATCCGTTTCGAATTCTTAGAGAGAGCGTTTTTCCTTTGTTTTCAGGCCCAGTTCGCGTTCCTTGGTCTCCATTCGTTGTCCGCCCTGCTGATTCACAACTGCGAATATCCATTCTCTGTGGCTCTCATATTCGGAATACAGAATGTAGTTATGTTCAATTTGTTCTACAACTTTTACCGCAAAGCCTATTCTGACAAGAAAGAACGTTAATTGAACTATTTTCATAACTGATCATGTTAACGTCCTTACCCTAACCTAACTTTCAGCGTCTTACCGTCTGGGTCGTTGCGCTCTGTGTCTGATGTAAAAAGGTTATTTATTTTTTTACTGAATTCGTCGGAAAATTCGTGCTTCCTGCCCTGATTTTGAAGCGCTCCGGGTTTAATATTTGTCTTTCGGATCCATACGATGAGCTGTGAATGTTTACGCGGTTAACCTTAGTGGAAATGGCTTCCAGGAGAAGGGACGCCACAGCGTTACCAACTTTACAAACGGCCTTTGACTTTTAAAATGTAAATTAATTTTACTGACTCAAAAATTTCTTAAAATGTTTCTGCCCCATTTGAAGATCTTTTTACATCGTAACGGTACGTGATCATTGAATGACACGAACGGTCTGGCCTTCTGTAATTATCTGACGTTTATTTGTAATCAATATCACAGTGTTGTTGTGTTTAAATAAAATATAAACAAGCAAGTTACATCCAATAATTTGTTACTAATTAAGTTAGATAGTTAAAAAGTTATTTCAGCTTTCAAGGCCGTAATAAGTAGATCACTAATTACGATAATTTGGTTACAGTGTTCTCAGCTACAAACTGAGGTGATTAAAAACGGTGGCGCGAGATTTATTTGAACATGAATTCGTCATGGAAATATGTGGCATGGGCTTTCAATATGCTGCAGTTACTGTGTTAACTCAGAAGGGCTGAAATGACAAGATTCCTACCCCACGTCATATACAGCCGACCTTCGTTTTGAGAAACGAGGATCAGGTGACAAGAGTCATGGTTATATAACCATTATATCATTTAATTGGTTGATTTAAGGAAACCCACTTCGTGGTGAAAATGCGAAAATGTCTACGTGTGTTTGGGATAAATCATAATTCGCTTAGAATTAGGTTCTAGACTGATTACTTTGAAGTGCTGACGGCTATTAAGAACAAGTGTAGTAGATTGAACGCATTAACACTGTGAAGCCGATGAGTGAAACTGTTAGGAAGGGGCGCAAACGAGTCGAGCCCAGAGAGTTAGAGGGTTCCCAGGCGATACCTGCTCGTCTTTTTGGAAAAGAAAGGAAAAAATGAGAGTGAACCTTAAGCACTTCTGAAAGATCGACTGATTAGCGCTATTTAAGTAATTATTGATTATTAATGCAGGTGGTACATATAGTTACCACCGGCTTTAATATTTAAAATGAACGTCCTTTGAAAACCTTTGTGCAGTAAGATGTCCGTTAGAAATTTGACGTTTCGGAAGTCCTTGCTGCCTTCTTCAACAACGCCCAGATGATGGATGCAGCAATTATTTCTGAAGTGTCTTCAAACCTCAAAGAGACTTCATGGCTCAACATCCGAGAAGACAGTGATCTTAAAGTGACAGCGATTTAAGAGTTAATCTCCTCCTTTCCCGTATGCTTTCCTGTAGAAATCAAAGAACATTACAAAGATGGAGACGTTCTGGACGAAAACGATGGATGAGATGATAGCCGGGTATTGGCAGTCTGTGACAAGCAGGGCGGACAGAGTATGGAGACTGATCACCACAAACTGGGCCTGCAATCAAGGAAAGCAGTCGTTACTGGAACCAGGCCTATAAATGTTAAATTATACCAAAAATATAATTTTACTTGTTTTTCGTAAATTAATGGACGAGTCTGAGGACTTTTCAGAACGTAGTTTCAGAAGTTTATCGGACGTCTGTGCCAAAGAGGATAACGACCACACAGAATACGGTGGGAGGGGTGTTATTAGTAAATAGGTCTGAAAATAATGAAACAGCCGATAAGACCTGAGCTAAGACAGAGGCTGAGTTCACAGCATGCATCGTACTTGTGTGTATAATGCGCCTCACGTACGATCTGACAAACTTTACCATTTGCAGCTGAGTTATGTACTTCTTCCACCAGATGTTGTGCTGTCGCCACGTGTTTGAGTATAAATAATAAGAGTACATGAACATGTGGACGAAGGTGTTCAAGAGGCCAACAATCACAGCATTGCCACCTGAAGAAAACAAACATAATTACATCGATTTCTTTTCTAAATTCATACGATTCAATTTGCTTCATGTGTGTTGGAACAAATTTAGAGGCTTCACCAGCTGCGAAATATGTGACTTCGCTGATTCAAACGGGAACAAGTTTGGAAAGTTGTACTCTTTTCTGTCAACATCCCGAAACTTCTTTTTTTACTTTTGACACGACACCGTTAGCACGCCCTCACTGTACAAAGCGCCAAAGATTAAGAACTGCAATTAACCCGCCGAAGCACGACGTTTATCTACGTGGGCTGACATATAAGAATTTAGTCCGCACCGCGAAGAAAACACCGCACTTCACCATTACATAGATCAACTGGTTAACCCTTTGAAGCCGAAGCTCGTATAAATATTACGTAAGAATTGAGTCCGTACCGCGAAGAAAACACCACACTTTACCATTACAAAGATCAACTGGTTAACGCCGTTTAAGAAAATAATCGCTGTTTATTTTGAAAATCATACATGCTTGCTGTGAAAAATGTACAGTCGTGGGAAGTTGGCTGTATCACGAGCAGAAAGGCACTTACCTGGGAAGTACCTCGTTCCGATCCAACTGCTTAATGCCATTCCCATGTGGTGGTACAAATGAAGAAACGTAATTTGCTTCCCCTTCTTGCGCAGGACGAAGAAGACCTGCAATATAAATTATTGCCCGCTCTTAAATGTTTATGTACGCGCTTGTCTCAAGTGATGGCTTTTGATAGGAATTCACTTCAATATTCAGTATTTTTATCTGCTGCTAAAAATCTAGGGAAAATATAGCGTAGTAGCCTGAACATTCATAAGTTTTTTTATTGATAAGCTGATAGCTGCCAAGCTAGTCAGTTCAACCTCCTTTTATGAAGTCGAAGGTTTAATACGATGTCCTGAGACAGACGACTACAGTCCACACTCTTCTACTTCAGTGTTAATTTTAATATTATTGTCTCAGCCCCCCCCCACCCTTAATTAGATCATCCCAACAATTTTTGCTGAAGAGTGGATTATGAAGCTCCTGGGTCGTAATATTTGTTCTCTCCCTCCGTCCTCTGTGTAGCTCCTACAGCCTCTCAGATCTTTGCTGTCGACCGCTGTAGCATCACGTCTCAATCTGTGGTGAGGTACAAGGTTCACGCCCGTAGAAAAAATAGATTAACAAATTACGGTAAAATCCTTTGAAACTTACGGTAATATTCCAAGATACATCCATATAAAAATTCTGTTTTTTTTTATTACCCATCTCAGCTCTTATCTTGCACAGCCTGACTTTGAATGTTTGTCTGAACAACATTACGTTCCATGCATAAGCCTCGACTTTTCTCTTAAGAGCTCACAATGAGGACATTTGGCTACTGTGCCGGCGATGCGGTACTATGTGTCCACGATTACGGAGCCGCGTGCCGTAGATCTAGCGGCACAGCTGCTAAAAATCCTCACCATACGTTTGTACAACTTTAGCTACCGCTTTCAGTCAACAATTTACTTTCGAACACTTCGATGTGATATTATTCATCTCAAAAATTCAGCGCTTGTAAGATTTGCTGATAGCTCTGGCACATACAGCTATAAATAACAACTACTGAGTTACATACTGTGTCCAAAAGATCCAGCACTTTTATTGCAAAATATTCCCAACACGCGGTCGTAATCTGAAAAAATAAAAAGTATCAGTAAATGTCTGCCTTCTACATGTCTTAAATATTTCAATTCGTGTAGTTTTCAAGAATGTGAATGTGATCCTGTTTTTTTTTTTGGGAAGGGATAAAATTATAGTGTTAAGTTGGTATTAAAACCTTCCACAAAATTTATAAATGTGATCTGGAGCCGAATTACTACAAACAACTTTTACTGTGATCCTTCGTTGGTGAATCACATAACGGATACAAAAATTTAAGTCGAGAATGTAGTACGAATTGGCTAATAAAGCGAATGAATGTTGTGATTTCCGTAAATACGACAAATTTATTCGTCTTTTAGATATTTTATTTCTTCGATAGTGTACTTCACATTTTCACAGCGGAAGCCGACAGAAGTTCAATAGATTGAGATTCATTCCCTTGTATATTCGTGCATGTTAACCATATTTTCTACTTGTATATTCATGCATGTAACTGTGTGATGTACACACTCGGGGCAAAACCATCTGACCACACCGTCCGCCACGACTGGATACGTACATACAGGGCCCGTGGGCTGTCCGAGTAGTCCACGGCCTCGCAGACGATGTTTTGCATCATCACAATTTTTACAGCCTGCAACACAGAGGGCACAGTTTCATCCTGATATCTCGAATTAATTTTCGTGGCACAATAGAACGCGATGTTTTCAGTGCAGAGCTTACAAACCCACACTGAGGCCGCCTGAAGAAGTCCCTCGTCTGCCTAAAGCTCCCCCCCCCCTCACCCCCACCCAAGCCGTCTGGCCGTTCACGTCACTGGCTGATATGGGGGGATCCTGAGGTCTGTCGTGCCCATGGGAATTACTTCTAAGGCCTCATAATAGCTGGATGTTCTAATCAGTAACTGAGGAAAATATCAGTAAATTTATAGATCGTGGCTGACTGAATTTCTAAGTCTCGAATATAATACCCAAAATATCCATTTTAATATTGTCCTACCATCTACACCTCGGTCTTCAGTGTGGTGTCTTCCCTTCAGGCTTTCCAACTAAGATTTTCTACGCGTTTTCGATTTCTCGAGATGTGGGCTACGCGTCTGATAATTTTTTGACTTCGTCATCACTTCATTATTAGGAAACTTTAAGTCATAATTTCACTTTCCGGTCTCGAGAAGGAGCTACTGTTCTGCCACGCCATTTAAGAAACCGATAGTCCTGCTCGTATGGTTACGTCCTGGGTTGAAATCTCGGCCCGGAGACCAGCTATTCTGACAGCCGAGAGGCTGCGACCACTTCCTTTCACATAATTTAAAATTATTGTTTTCTGCTATTGACAGCGTCGTTACGTAAACTGTAAATAAATAAGATTAACATCTTGTGAACGAGATGCAATACTCAATTCGAGGAGTGCACTTACTTTTATAAATATTGCAACGTTTAGCAATATTTGTATGATGTTGTACAAAGCGACGATTCTGTTCAGTGAGTAGGCTGGTCTGTCCTTCATGTACCGAGGGCCAGCGACCTTCACGAAGTACACATACGAAAGCAATATGCCCAAAGGGTACAATGGCGATCCCATGAGGAACCACTCACTGGTTCTTGGATCTGGAAAACGAAATAGCCTGAGTTCTGTAAAAACGACCGTCAACATATTTCTGAAACAACAGTTCAGTTTCAAGGATGCGATAATTGTCAGTCAAGTTCACTCTGATGTAAGTCCCACTTTCCGCCATGTAGGCGCTTGGGGGGAGAGGAGGTATCGCTCCTACTCATTCTTGACCTCGGCACTAGATGGGGTGAGTGGTTAGGGTCATGCCCCGGCCGAGCTTTACCCCCGGGAAAGGACCTCGGTACCCATTGGATAGGAGGCTGGGTGGGCCCCAGAGGCTAGAGGAAAAATCCTCTGCCTCCGTCGAGGATCGAACCCCTGGTCGTCAAATCCGTAACCAGTCATTCTCATGTTAAATGAATATAAAATTCAGTTTTCTTACCAGATATTAAATTACAAACGATCTGCATGAAAGTGCACGGACGAGGAATCATGTGATTTACAAGGGCAATGTGTCGTCTTAAGTTTCTAAAATCAAGTTGTGGTTGGTTTGATGAACGGAGAACTTAGATGCGAACACAAGAGATTAGCACAGAAAATGGGGGATGGGTTAATAAACTTCTCACAGAGCGGCATCTCCAAATACCTGGTATGCGAATATGATTATATGTGTAATTAGGCGAGTAAAGTTTTGGCTTTAACTCTGTTGAACCTTCAGGCGCTACAATCCAGGAGGCCACAATCTACAATTCAATTAACTTTTAACCCTTTAAATCACAGTGTTAACCATATGTACCAGCTGTTTTAATATCCAGTAGATCTGCATTTTCGTCACAGAGTGTACCTATGTATTTTATATTATTCTCAGTGTAAACAGCGTTAACCAGTTGATCTTCGTAATGGTGAAGTGTTGTGTTTTCTTCGCGGTACGGGCTGAATTCTTAAATATTATTTATTTCTAAAGGATTAGTTATCGAAAAGTTAGTTTAGTGTCATGACATTCTTATCGCATCTCAAAGAATAATTAAATCTTTTCTGTGATGGGCGCGTGTGTAATTGCGTTGGAATACGCAACCGAAATGGTTTTGCGCCGCGGTAAAGTCGTACACGCAGGATGACTGTCTCATTGACGACGCCAACGGCAAATGGCGTGAATTTTAATTTTAAATTATGCAGGGAATCTACTTCCTGTTAGTACAAGACAATGACAAACACATTATTATAATAATCTACTAGCAAGCTCACATTGTGTCATCTTGTCTACTAGTCCATTAAAACAATGTGAGTGAATTCCATGGCGTGTGTTCCTACATTTTCTGCGGGTATTTTGTTTAATTTGATTTTTGTTTTTATAATTATTTGTTATCAGGACTTTTCCCATCGTCTGTTTTTAAAATTCACGACGTTTAAAATTTTAAAAACAGACGATTGAAAATCCTTGCTGCCTCCTTCATCGTCCTGATGACCTGCGACCCAGAAGACAGTCGTTTGGTTCGTGACAGCCTGCAGGCCCCTGGGCGATTATTAGCGTTTCGGAGGAACGTATCCCCTCTGTCTTCATGATACATACAGATATACAATTGTTATTTTACTACCGTAAAAACTTCATATTTTATGTGATTACTGTGCAATTTCTTTAAAGACGTGTTGTAGAAGTGATAACGAATTTCAGCAAGTAGACGTAACAGGATAACGTACGAAATTTATATTTTATTTATTTAGTGTTCTGTCTGACGACAGGTCCATATGAACAGGATCCTTCCATCCTTTTCTCGGACTGGGACCTGTTCATATACGTTCTTGGCAGATGATCCAGAAGTGGTTTGCCATTGCCTTCTTCTGTGTGTGAATGGAGTAATTGTTGGGATGCCACGGAGGAAAACTCCGTGTTGCCTAGACCACGGCCTTGCCCAACACAAGTTATAAATTCGGGCACCGCCGGGAATCGAACCCGAGACCCCAGGATTACAAGGCCAGCGTTCTGACCGCTAGGCCACCGTGGCAACGTATGAAATACCAAAATTAAAAATGTTTTTAATAAGACTTATAGACCTATTGCATGTTTGTACCTTATGTAAAATATACTTAAGTTGAGTAATGGTTATATTTAATTAGTACAAATTAAAATTACACACATTCGACAATTCTTATTATAAGCGCAATACCATAAAAAGTTTGGTGGAATTTCTGAAACTTGGGCGGATGTACAGGAATCTAACCCTCTTCATGTTTTGCTTTCGGTGCAGAGAATGCACAGTGAAGTTTCGTGTTCCTATGGAGTGCATCTAACATCCATATCTCGATTTTTGATAATTCAATGTGATAAATACATTCTCAGGAACGTGAATTTACAACAGCCGACAGCGATGTCGAGAAAGTTTTGAGGTTTCAGCGGCATTGTCCCCTCTTCGCCCTGATGATGGAGGCAGCAAGGAGATCTGAAACGTCGGTAGACTTCTACCAGACTACACGGCGCTACAAGCCAGAAGGCAGTCATCTTTGGATTGTGTTCATTCAGATTAATTCATTACACAAATTTAAAGCCTACATCGTCTTAATGTTTCCTTTAGATAGAACTTAAGTCTCGAAATCTTGCATCTCATGATGACGAGATATATTTCTTTTGTTTTTGAGTCTATCTATGTACCAACATACATATTAACCGTTGACGGATTTAAAGTATTTTATTATTATTATTATTATTATTTATTATTGACTGCAAATGGGTTTATACCCGGTGGCAGTGTCCTACAATAACATACAAAACAATGAGACAGAACAGAACAATGAGATACATCAACACAATGAGACAGAACAAAACAATAAACAAAAGGACACAACAAAAACAATAAGACACAATAAACAATGAGATACATCAACACAGAGACAGAACAGAGCACGAGTATTTATGTATTTGCGTAATACAACCAGGAACCGAAGTTGAGTATTTTTTTTAGTTATATTCTGTTTGATTTCTTCAGAGTTTCTACTTAATTGTCGCCCAAATAAATTTCAAAATAACTGCGTTGAAGAGTAACCTCTTTCCTGATGAATGTGGCTTTTATAGTCAGTAATTATAATTGTAATCTGTACTTACCAGCGAGATCGTAAACAAGATGTCTGTACGTGCGAACTGCGGTTTTTATCAAACTTGCCATTTGTCTTCAGTTAATTACGTCTCTCCGGGCTAAACGATGGTCAAACACTGGTATTGTTACGTGCAGCTAACTGTCTTTTATCCAGGTAACCATTACGTAAGGTAAAATTATGAATTTAAATCAACTATGCCAAGGACGACAAATACAATGCAAATGGCGTTAACGTCCAGAAGATACAGATTAACAAGTCAAATTATTGCTTTAATAATCAACAACTCTGCGTTTTGTATTTATGGACTTAGTGCGATTCTCGCTGTAAATATCGATTTTTGCTTAAACAACATTAACCATTATATCTTTCCAATGGCGAAGTGTGGTTTTTTCGTTTTGAGTTCTCTAAATGAGTTAACTGACGTAATATTTCACTAATGTAACTCAGAATCTGTAAATAATTTGTTGGGTTCGGAATCGATACAGGTAAATATTAATAAATAAGCGGGCGAAGTATTATTTACAAACTTGTAAGTGTTGACTATGTTCTGGAATCAAAGCAGTAAACAGAACGTGATTAAGGGTTCTCTGCAGGAAAAAGTGATTTTTAAGTGATTTTGGTAACATTCAGAATCGAATGTTCTGACATATCACAATTATTAAAATATATTGACTAAATTTTAACTTTAAAGTTAACGACCTTACCTGAGAGGCAATATTTCACTTCATGAATAAAATGCAAAGTTTCATGAAAATTATCTTTATTTTCACTCTAGCAACACAGAAGCTTCTACAAAAGCAATCCGTTTTTAACACTAGACTTTTTAGCATTTAAATATAAAGTCCTTTCAGTGAAAATGAATTTCGTACAACGCACAAAAAGAGTTTTCTTTTAAACATCCCAAAACATGGTCTTAATTTAACAGTATTATGTAACTGACAGACTTTGTTTTACAGTGTTGTTTAACTTACCACTGCGGTCGTCATAGGGTGAACTGTTTTCCCCTATAATGACGTGTAGTTAACACATAGAGACAGGGCGCCATTTTATGATAAATGAGTCAAAATGGCGGCCACGTTAAATCTATATTTAGCTTCCAGTTTGATGGATATAGCTAACATACCATTAGGAACGTACATACAGATTATTCGAAGATAGATTATAAAAATTCGTACAAATTATGTTTGAAACAACTTTATATTTCATTAGTTAAAAATATGGTGGTCCTATGAATCTTCAAAGGTATGATGGCCTTAATTGCCTTCGTGAAAATTTGTAATCGTGCAAACTGTAAATGCTGTTTGTTGCGCTGTGTAGACTGTTCGGTAGATGACAACTTTTCGGAACAAAACATGCTGTCTCCATCTTCAAGGCAGAAGGCCAAACCTGAAAACTGAATCCTTAAATGCTATTTAGACGAGCTTGTACTACCGTTATTGATCTCGTTTTTGAATCCCGGACTGCTGGGTAGAAGTCAGTATGCATCCGGAAGGTC